TTGCCTTTATCCTGTTGCCTGGTGCTGTACACTCAGATCTGTTTTGTCAGGCTTGTGGCCCTCTGGTCCTGGGTGCAGTGGCTTAGACCAATCCCATGGCAATTGCTTTCGCTTTTTAAATAGCTCTTGCAGACACATCTATCAATATTTCAGCCTCTTTTTTTCCCTGAGACCTTCTAAAGGCCGGAGCCACACGTTATGTGGAATTATTTATGGCTCTAATGCCAGTAGCAGCCTGCTAATATCTGTGCCACTTCTCTCAAGATTGCTTTCAAGTGATCCAGGGCCCAGGGTAGTTGCTGCCAACCTGAGAACCACTATCCCTTTCCCTGGGCCTCCCATTTCCCTGGCACCGGGGGAAGATGGGAATCATCCAGCAATGCTGGACTCCATAAGGTTATAAAGAAACTGCTGGTTAAAGACTGTCACTTCCCAGTAAGAAACCCGGAGTAGCTGATGGCTGAGGTTCGCATTTACTGGTGCTATCAGGTGGTGGCAAAGGCCATCATAGGAAGTAATTTGTTTCCTGGCACTGGAGAGCCATTGGGCTCAGTTGGGTGGCAGACAGACATGTCTAAATCCTTAGGGCCTGTCAACTAGGAAATCTTCAGTATTTCCATGAGATATCACTGATTTGCATAGAAGCAGATTCAGCCTGAATCCTTCTATTCACTTATTTAAGACAGTGATGATTTATGCAGTCCTAGGAGGCTATGAGAGATGATAGAATCATCGCATAGTTAGGGTTGGAAAGGTTCTTAAGATCATCTAGTTCCAGGCACAAGGAAGCAAAGGGGGAAGAAAACTCTTAATTCCAAGTTACAAGTGATAAATATTATTCATTTTGATAAGGGCTGGTAGGACACCAGTTTGTTTTGTGGTCAGTAAAACCTGAATCAATCAGGACTGCTTCTTGCTGCAGGAAGCTTAAAGCATGCACTGTGTGGTGTCACGTTCGAAGGGTTGGGTTTAGCCTTTTTATTCGTTGTCTGGTGCCTTTGTGTCTGAAAAGCTGAATGTGCTCTAATCTCCCCACTCCTCCTGGCTGATGGCATCCTTTTTAATGTCTCCTGAATCTATAGCCCAAGGTCAGAGGATGCAGTAGATGCAGAATTGATTGGTTGGAGGTGACAGCAGTCACCCGATAGCAAGCAAGAGCAATTTCTTTCCTATGCCCCATTGCCCTCTAATGGCCAGTGTTGAATTTGCACAGCGAAGAGGACCAGATGCGGAACGAGTGGGGAAACTGGTGTGTACTGGTGATGCCTTATTTCCTAGAACCCCCCAGAAGTGTTCACAGTGAAGACTAGTTTGAGGTGCAAAGAGCAAAAGGTTTGCTCCTTTTTGGTTGCACCATCCCTCAGAGACAGACGGAGGGAGGGAAAAGAAACTTGCTCGCACTGTGTCAAAATCCCTTCTGATTCTTGTGTGTGATGCTGAGAGGTGGGTTTGCTGCTCTGCTCTACCGTGTGTGGCAAATCCTGCTGAGCAAGGAAACCTGAACCAGGAATAAGGGAAGAGCTGGACCCAGACCAAACTCTTGCAGTTGTGTGAGACTACAGAAGGAAATACATCTGGTGATGTACTCACCCTTTGGGGCTATGTACTGCTGCTGACAATTGGAGTGCTGAACATGCCTTCAGTATTCTTGGGTTCACTTCTCTCTTGCAGTAGAGGCTTTTTAACAGTAGATGTCACGTTTGCATAAGGGAACAATAGATTGTAACCCCTTGTGCAAGGCCTGGCTACGGCCAAAGAACATGTGCTCCAGCACAGAGGATGCTGTCGCCTGCCCTGTGTATGCTGGAGGCAAGAGGAGCTGTGAATCATAAACTACTACAGGTGCATGTACCAAAGTGTTTGTCCTAGGTTGATGCTGCAGGTCACTGCTCAGGACGGATGTGTGATGGCAGAACAGCACCCACATCTTGCTTGGGTGCTGGAGTGCAGGCTTTACTTGCTGGAAGTGTTCAGGAAATGAATGATCTTAAGGTCCTTTCTAGCCCAAACCATTCTCTGATTCTATAAGCTTATGAACCTAATTCAGCTTTCCTGGCTAACTTGGCAGGGCTTGTCAGTACGTGTGAATAATCTTTTTGGTCCAGCTTTGGAGTTGTAGGGATTTGGCAGTGTTCTATATGATCCCACTACACTGTTCTCATGCGTTTCATGTGCAAAATGATGACCTTCAAAAAAACAAGCCAACTACCTCCAGTGTAGATAGAATACTTTTAATACAGAAATCTTTGTAAATACATTAATTACAGTCCATAAAAAATAAGTTCTGAATCTTTACACTGTAGCCAAATACAGAGAGACTAAAATCCATTTCTAACTCAAATAAAGAAGCATTATCTAACGTGGAAGAAAGGTATACTCTTCCAATAAAATCTATCCTAAACCACAAAACCTCACTCCAAGCTGTAATTTCATCACATGAGTGTTTTGCAGCAGGTACAGTACTTGATTGGCAGCCTCAAAGCAAGCCCAGAAGAAGAAATTGGGGATTTGAATGTGCATTTTGGTACTGGAGAGGATGGATCTGCAGCGGGTGGCTGCGGTGACGGTGACCGTACACAGCAAGGCTCTGCATTTGAGACGTAGCTGTGCAGTTGTGTTCAGTATCCCAACAGGCTGACGGGGATCAGGGTTTCAGCAGGTGGGAGCTGGTCTGTGAACTTGTAGGAAGTGTCAGGTCCTCTAAGGATTGGGCTCTGTCAGGTCCTGGTAAGCCCTGGTGAGAACCAGGCACAGGTCGAGGTTGGTGTGTGCGGTGCTGGCCCAGGGCCCCAGGTCTGCTTTGGCAATTTGGCAGTCCAAGGGATCTTCTCCAGCAAAGCCACTATGCCCAAGGGCTGGAAACTGCCTTCCTCAGCCACCTTGTAATTGATTTGGATCCATGTTCCCATTTTGATCCTGATCCAAACCCAAATCCAGTTCAAACTGGAATGTCTGTAAAATCTGAGTACTTTTGGTCCAGGGCAATTTTGTTTCTCTCTTTTATTTCTTTTTCTTTTTTATTCCTTGAAAAGCACTTCTGTGTGCTTAAACTTAAAACTCTTGATGCCAACCACTGATGAATATCATCAGTGCCAAGGGTAACAACAGCATCAGTGCCAGCACCCTCACAGTATCATTAACATCAATGCCAACAGTATCATGCACATCTATGCCAGCAGACCAATACTGTCAACAGTGCTGATGCCAACAGGCGTGAACGAATGAAGAACCCCTCAGTCATAAACCATCATGCAAAGCCTCATGCTGAGATGCTATCCCATAATAACAACCCCCTGTGCCCAGCCTGGTTCTCATTAGCAACTTTACAATAACACACGCTGGCGCAAACAGTTAGACGAGAACACCAAGGTGTGTGTAATCTCGAGGGGAGAAAAGCTCAGCTATTTCTGGAGCCGAGGGCAAATGAACTCAAAGATGAAGGAGTTTGTTGACTCTGCTTTTCTAAACCCTTCTGTCCAAGTGCAGTGGTGGCAGCTGGAGCTCTTTCTCAGCTGGCACAGCTGGAACGCTGGAATCACTTGCAAGCAGCAAGTGGTTTGACTCCCGTGTGCTTTGCTTTGGAGCACATCTCCAGCTCTACCTACTTAACAGAGGAATCTTGTTTCACAGGTTATCTAAGGGATTAATAAGAGAATTCAGTCCAAGAGGATCTTTCCAGAATCAGTGCGTTTCCAGTGCATAATCTCATTATTCCGAGGCTAGTTCAGGTTTGAGGACACAAACTATTCTCCAAAGAGGTAAAGAGGGATTTTTCTTTTCCCATAACTTGCAGCTTGTACTTGAAGGACAAGGTCAGGTTTGATGCTGAAAAGTGGGCTGCAAAGATCCAGAAATGGAGCAAAGAGTTTACAATTTACAAGCCTGGAGTATCTATAGTTCCCTGATCTTCTCAGGTCTGTACCCAGGAAAGCTGTGTAGGTGCAGAGCATCCCACTGCAGCCACATCTTGCAGCGGTGGCCTGGGAGTTAGGATGTGCTAAGCAGCTTTCATACCTTACTCCCAGTCTACACCTCAGTGCAAGTAGCAACTCTGCTTCCATTTCCCTTTGGACAGTAGCTTGGTGTCATCACCAAAGAGTTCCTTGCTCTTTGCAAACCAAACTTGTTCTTTCAAAGCTGTCAGTCAGTTGTTCTCTTATAAAGAGAACAGGAAGACATTCTTGGTTGTCTTTGCCAGAAGTGGATGAATCAAGGGACAAAAAACTTGTCCCTGAGAATTTCGGGTATCTCGATCAGCCCAACTTCAGAAGCTTCATACTCTGGGGTTAATTGGAGGTTTCAAAGCCTACAGGAAAAAGAGAAGAGTTAAATCACAACGTGCCTTGTGCTGTTTCAATGGATTTACATCCCGAAAGAGCTGCTGTTCACATTGGAACTCAGGTTACCTTTGGTGGAGGTGGAGGTGGAGGTTTGCCTTTGGGAACTGGAAGATGAGCTGGTTTTCTCTCTGGTGCCTGAACAAAAATGTAGTTTAAATGTCACTAGGCTTCCCTGCCTGAGAGCTGCAGAACCTCCACAGGCTTCAGCTGCTCCTACTGTTCTCTCATGTATTTTCTACAGCATTTTCCTAGTGGAAAAGCTGGGGGTGAATTAGCTTAATCTGTGCACATACAAGGTGTCAACCATAATGCACAAGGGGTATGGAGCTCCTGTTGCAGAAGACCACAGAGCTATTCTCAGTGTTTGCACTAATCTCTATCGAATATCCACGCCCTGCTTGGGAAGTTAAAGCTGGTCACAAGCTCAAGGTGCGTGTTGAGGAAACATCTCCAAAGACAGGGGGGTTTAAATGGCTGTTTATAATGCAGCTGATACGTGGTGTTTAGTCCTGATCCATCATTCTTTATGCAGGCAGTACCATGCAATCATGTTTCTGGTCTGAAGACAGTTTCTGTACCCTTGTTTCAGATGGCCAGGGGGCTCAAATGATGAGATGGTAGATATTTGAGGGAGGCATTTTCATTTAAATAGGATTCTTTGGGTTTATTAATGGTAAATATTTGTATTCTTCTGGTTTCCAAATTTTTGTAAGAATTAAAAAAAAAAGAAAATATCTATATACACACATAAATTGATGGAGATCCCCTCACAGGAGCAAAGATGCTCATCATTTGCCTTGTGTTTACACCTGAAATCCCTGTTGGTTTGGACTTCATCTGCTATTGTTCTTGAGATGTTCTTGTAATGGTTTACAGGACCCCTTGGCACAGATTAAGAGTATCATCTTGTGCAGTTTAGGATTATGTGGCAAAACAAGTGACTCCTGCCCCAAAGAATATGTGGTTTGAATGTCTGTGAGTTATGGGGGGTTTAATCAGAGTCAGAAACTGAAAACCCTAATTGACATCTGATAGTCCTTTGCAACTCAGATGGAAGGTGTGAAAAGTCCAGGGTTATACTTACAAAGATCTCTTCAGTGTGAAAAGAGGCTGGTTTCATAGAAGGAACAGGAGGTGGGGGACCTCTTGGCCTTATGGCAGGCTGTGGAGGCAGAGAATATAGAGAACATATTGACCCTATATACATACTGTGAATGTATGCATCTGCGTGTTCCCATGGGAATGTGGAGGCTTGTGTTCTGTATATAAAGTGCATTAATAGGGATAAAAGGATGCATTCTTTTCAGAAGCAGGGATGCTTTGTGTTATCTGGCCCTGAGAAAGCACTCAGGACCTGATTGGGAGTGCAGGGATTTCTCTAGCCTTCGGGGTTGGGGTTCTCCACCATGACAGGAACTGGTTGGTGTGTGCTGTCTTCCCCAGAGACAGTGTGGAAGCAAAGACATTGGTGGGAAGTACTTACGCTCTGGAGCTGTGGTTTGTTCTCTTGCAGTGGAGGTACAGGAAGGAGAAGTTTCTTATCGTTCATCTGAAAACAGGGAACAGTTGAATCCCATGGAGCCTTTATCTTGTTCATTATCTTTGCTGCTTTACTGCACACACATTACTCTGGGACTTAGTACCATGTGGGATTCCTCTCAGCCCTAGACAAGGGTTTTGAAACCCTCATAGAAGTGTAGCACACTTTGACTGATGAGTTTTGATGTTTCAACCCCTCCACTACAGTCCATAGGAGACCAGAGCTGACCCAGCTCTTACCTTCTGGACAGGTACTGCCAGGACAGGGTGTTCTCTGTATCTTTGTTCTTGATCTGCAAAGACTTGGTTTGTGGCTCCAGGTCCCCTTCTGGTCTGGCAGCTAGACAAAGATTACACACAACTGTAAATCTTAACCTGACTGAAGTGACAAGAACTTGCTGAAGCTGAATGCCTGCCTGAGTCCTATTGGTGTGTTATGTAGCCATGTCCTTTCTTCCCCTTATTTTGATTATTTAGGATTAATCTTGAGTCTTCAGACCTCTCCCAACTATGAGATTTCTGTCAGGGATCACCTTCCTTGGCTTTCCAGTGTCCAAGTCCCTCTACCCCCTTCGAAAACCTTTGCTTAAAACCCGTCCAGGAGTTGCTTGGCTTTAGGTTTTGGTTGCGGGGGGGGGGTTTGGCTCAATGCGGGTAAGCATTTACCTCTTCTTGAACACTCGGAAGCGGATAAGGAACACTGCTGCCGTTGCTGTGACAGCGAGGACAACCAGCACAGCAGCAACTATAGCAAAACCTGCCAGGGAGAGAAAACACAAGTTGCTATTTCTTGAAAGATCTGCTATTACGGAGAAGTTTCCCATCACACTGGCAAAGTCGTATTTGTCACAAGGTCTAGGCCCTATTTGTCCTCACTGTTGCTCAAACTCACGGCTGCTTCTCTTTTCCAAGGTGATGGAAAGAAATGTGTTCTTGACATTTTTGTTGTATTTGAAGACGGTGGTTATTGCTTGAGCTGTCCTGGGGCTAAGTAAACCTAGACCCATCCATCCATCCATCCATCCCCAAAGACCATTTCATTGTCACCCCTCTCCTCTTCCTCAAAGATTATTACCCAAAACTGGGTGCATCCCTTTGGCCTTGTATACAAGTAAAGCTTCACAGTTTTCCTTCAACAAAGCTATTGTAAAGCCTCAACCAAGCCACAAAGTTGAGAGCTGACGGTGCTTTAGTGAAGGTGGAGAGAGGACATAAACATGTAGTAAATAACTTGCTCTAGTCATTCCTACAAGCTGCAGCAACTTAGAGATGCGCAGAAATCGGAGACCTTGACAAGCAAGGCAGGGTTTATCACTGGGGTTGAAGCAGGAGGATGCCAGTACCCAGTGTGAGGCCATGCAGCACTTACTGGTAACTGCTGAGGAGCTGTCGCAGGTTGGTGGTGCCCATCCTTCCTCACACTGGCATTGCAGCTCGTGGTCACACACCTGCAGAAGCACAAAGCCAGGAACCACTTCAGGATGGGAATATGAGTGAAGCTGTCAGTGGCTTCCGATAAGTTTTTGGAAGTTAGGTCTGGAAACCCTCTCATTTTACTTGCACTAAGATTTAGCACAGAGAATAGGGTTTGTACAGTAAAGGACAGGCCTGGTTGTCTGCTACCATGTGCCTTTTGCAGGTGTTTCTGCAGTAAAAACTACAGTACAAGGCACAAAGCAGCAGTTACACCTGTAGGTCTCTATATGTTCAAATGGGATGAGCACAATTACCTTCCTAAAACAGAAGACCTGAAAGAGAATAGCTGTGATACTGTGGTGCAGAGGCAGGGCCAGGCACAGAACCTTTGTCCATCTCTTGTTATCTCCTTAGCAAAAACAGTGATGCTTTATGAGGGTAGATTTGCTTTCATAAAGATATAGAAAGCTTCTGATTCCAAACAAAGTTTTTGTAAATCCCTATCCCAATGATCTAAATACTGTCATCAGTAAGTTCTGTAGCTGATATGCATGACTATCTTGGGGTGTTCTAAGATAATAGCATCAAACACTGGTATCTTACAGCATGTCCAGTACACTTGGCAGAGCAGTTGGTTGATCTAAAGACATCTTCAATGTAGACACATTCTCCATTGCTGCACACCTGAAATGCACAGAGCAAATGGTAACCAAGTGATTTACAGCTTTCAGAACATGCAGAGCTTGCACTTCGTTGCATGGAGTGATGAAGAGTAAAAGGAGGCATAGAGCAGGTCTGCAAATCACTTAAACCTGCATTAGAATTTGATATGTGGATGTAATTTTTCACTTGACCTTCGGGTATTTTATAGGTCAGGGGAGTGACAAAGATGTCCAGACATCACTGCTTTCCACTCCTTTTCAATCCTTCACCCTTCCTTGCCCTCCCAGTAAAAATATATAGCAAAGAAGTTGGGAACGGTGCTCGGTGACACCTAGGCATCCGTTATGGAAAGCATTAAAAATATAATACAAATATGTCTTTTAACCTTCATACAAAGGCTTGTTCCTATTGCCATGTGTATTTTTGTCAGTGAAAAATAAGACAGCCGTCAAGCATAATGAAATGTGAAAGCAGTTCTGTTTGCTTTGATGCTGGTTTGTGATGGATGTAAAGCAGAAGATATGGCAAATTGGAACAGTAGAAGTTTAGTGTCCACCTCAGTCTTCCCAGTTTAAGATCTGTCTTGTCTGGTAACAGAGTTGAGGATAAAAGCAAGAGTGAAAGAGGGGAAACAATAAGGAGAAAAGCTGTTCTCTACTAACCATCCCATTCCCGCATTTAGTTCCATTGAGAATCATCCCTGGGTCTGCTTCTCCATTTCTAGGAAAACTTGCTTTGCAGGACTCGAAAGTCACCAGGCTCCCATCCCGAGGCATCTCGCTGCCCCCAGCACAGAACAACTTCCCACACATTATATCTCTGGAAGGAGAACGAGAGCTGCTATAGACCAATGGCTTGGCACAGCAGAACTATTTGAGCTGGTTTCTCCTCCAGCCTGAATTTGTTGTGTGCAGGAACTCCAAAGATAAAGCTGTAGAAAGGGGTTTTGGTTTGTGGTGTTTTCAGGTTGGTTTGTGAGCAGAAGGTGTCAGGTTCTTAATTCCTCTTGAGCTTATTAGGGAACCCAAAATGGTTTGCAGAAATGAGTATTTAACTGTCCTCAACTTTGGAGGTTCACCTGAAGTGCAAGCTCCCTATCCAAAAATCCCTTCCCTGTACTCACCTGCACACGCAGGCTTGCACGTACATATGTATTTGCACACATACATATGTATTTGCTCACATACATATGTATTTGCACACGTACATATATATTTGCACACATACATATGCACTCAGACCCATCTCATGGTTTGGAAAGCAGTTTTCCTAGAACTGGCTTTACCACAACATTCCAAGTGCACCAGAAGGGACACATGGATGTAGGTGCCATCTAAACCAGTGCACTCTTTGCTTCTGTCTCTTAACCAGAATAGGAGTGGTCTCTCTTCCCAGATCCCAGCAGATTCCATAACATTGTGCTTACTTTTTCTCGCATGGGACGTGACTACCTTTTTCTTTTCTGCAGTATCCATAATATACCCCTTTCTCGTTCATCCGGTAACAGGACGCGGCACCTTCAGTGGCCTCTGCGAAAGAGGGAAATTCGGTGGCTTTAGTTTATGTTCTCTGCCTGTGAACTCACAACGTTCAGTTTCCTTTACCTGCTTAGGAAATAGCCTTTCCCAGTGAAGTTACCCATGGGCATAAATGACACTCTAGCACTTCATGCATTAGTGCTGCAGTGTTGCTCTGTGCACTAAGCAGAACCTGTTCTCTGTGTTCTCCCTATGAACCAACAGACCTTGCCTAAGAGAAGGGACATAGTGAGGACTGGAGACGGGTTAGGACTGGGAGGAGGACAAGCCACCACACACCTTCAGAAACGTAAAGGCGTGCCAAATTTGGACATTAATTCAAAATACAGACATTTCCTAACAAGAAAAGAACCAGCTCCTTTCCAAAGGTCTCTTAAAAGCATCGTGTGAAAGAGGAATACACTTAACCACTTCCCATTTCTCTAAAAGGCATCCTAAGCTCTGCACTTCAGCTCAGTGATTAAAACCACTTACTGTTACATATAAATATAACAACTGAGTAGATGTTACAAGCTAGAAATCATATACACTATATAAAGCATAAGTAGCATATATGCTATATAAAGCATAAAGATGCGCTGTTCCTGCTTTGCAAAAGGTCTTTGATTTGCCTGCATACAAAGCCTTTCCCTTTATCTCTTCTTTGACCCATACAAACTGCTTTTCCCAATCCCAAGTTGTACTCACGTGATCCAAAAGCAGCTTTGCACTGTTGTTCCCGGGTGGGACAGTGTCCCATGTAGCAGTAGCCCTCGCCGTAGTTGCAGGGATATCCGTTTACACGGAATCGATCTGCTGGGCAGTGTTGGGAGAAGCCAGTGCACATCTCAGCCAGGTCACAGTCATCCTTAACTGCCCTGCAGATAGCTCCTGATTTCTTGTACTGCAGTGAGGGGGAAGCAATGCCACACTTTAACACGTGCTCCTCCGTCCTGTTCAAGATCACACTGCACCAGCGGTTAAAGCAGGGGAGACAAATCTCAACCTCACTGTGCAGGATGTGTGGGGAGCCAGGTCCGTGCCTAATTTAAGGTCAGTTATGTCAATTGACAAGGTTTTTACCTGGTTGTGCCTCAGCTTTTCTTTCCAGGAGAAAATGGATAATCAAAAGGCTTATTTCTCCAGGATGTTGAAAGAGTGAGTGAATTGGTAGTTGTGGTGTGGTTTGGGATGGACAAAGTGCTCTTTGATTACAAGGCTGGGTCAGTAATCACAGTCAGAGGGGATTGGCTCTTTTGAGAGATGTATTACTGCTTTCTCATGGGGTAAAAATACTTTAACCTCAAAAACGTGAGGAGCTGGAGGTGAGGAGGAGTCTTACCTGGCAGTTTTCACAGCACTCTCCATGTGCACACGTGGACCCTGCTGTCAGTTTGCACGACTCGGGGTCGCAGCACTCATTTGTGCACTCCTGCAACAGAACCAGCAATCAGAGCTCTGGTGTGTGCTTCAGGGTTGGGTCCTCTCTGCACTGCATTCCCAGCGAGCCACCCTGTACTTGCTTACTGAGGGAGCAGGGATCCATTGGACTTGCATTTGGCTTTTCTGAGAACCATTTTCACTAGAAGCCAGGCCAGTCATTGCGAGTGAGCAATAAAGGATGCTGCGTGTGCTGGACTGTGCAGGTGCTGGTAGAAGTTGTGTA